CAATTATTAATTAAAGATGTTGTTTTGTTATTTCATTCATTTGTACTGTATCATGTCTGTATCATTTTTTGTTTCATTTGTATTTTCTTTGGTTTTACACGCTCGAAAAAATAAAATAAATTAAACTAAGTGTGAAAAATACACTGTTCATTGTAGCTACTGTATTTGATTGGAGACTCTTTTAGTCAATAGAAAATAAGAGCAATATAGGGCTGCATGATTTGGGCAAAAAAAAGGGATTGCGAATAATTTTATTGCAATTGCGATATGAAATCATTTTTGCATCATATTCTCAATATCTTTGAGAAAAATCATTAAATGATAATGGTTGCATCTTTAAAAAGATTCTTTACCGAAAGAGATGTTTTGCAAATCTTCCAGAATACAATTTAGTATGAGTAATACTTTGTAGGTCGGGATATCATGGCTCCAAAATACTTCATTCAAAATGCTATTAAACACACATTTAGCCTTTCTTTTCTTTTTTGTTATATATGTTTTTCAGTTAGAAAATAAACAGACATTGCTCCAGATAACAGAAAAAACAACAAAACATGTAACAACAAACAACTAAACAAAACATAACGGGGGGGGGGGGGGTGTGATGCAAGGATGACTTCCTAAGACAGCTGATTGTGACACACACAGCACATTACACAGGAGAGGCCATATTGACAGGGTCAGATAGGAGAGCTGCGGACAGTGAACCGTAATCCTCCTGTCTCCCCTCAAAACACATTTAGCCTTTAACCGATTTTCTGCTTCCTAATAATTTGAGTTATTGCGACGCCTTGGAACCTAGCAAGTTTTCCTTTAGTGTCAAAAGTTGTCGCGTGATTTGTAAGAGATCATTTACCGACGTTGAAATGTTGATACAGAAACAATATACGATGCCGCTCTACTGTAGTATTCATGAAATACCATCTGTTAATTATTTGTAGTTGACGAGTGATTGGAAGCTAACCTGACATCGAGAACACTGCCGTCACATTTCTGGCTGGAGGTGTGAGGAAATGTGTTACCCCTAAAGGTCAACAAACAACCTGTCAACATTAATAATAATTGACGGGTTTACTGTACATAGTTTACCGGAATCTGCTCGGGATATTCCTTTAGATTTATCAATCAATCAATCATCAATTATTTAGATTTATCAAAGGAAACTCGGAGGGAACGTTTCCCATCACTGACATTAAGTCTGACACATGTATCGCTTGTTACATCACTGCGCAAAGTTTTGGCTTTTTCTGGAACTTCTCTGGAAACTTCGGCCGGCTGCTCCCTACAGTATCAGTCGTCAACGTTCGGCATGTCATTGTTGGAGAGCTGAAGGACAGAGAGGAAAGCAGCTGTCTCTTTCAGAATAACAGATTCCCAGATGCCGAGGTGCGTTTGTTTTAACTCCTGCTGGACCAGAAACATCCTCATGCACAAACTTCATCTGTGAATAATATGTGAGTATATACTTCTGTACTCTTCAGCACTGTCAGAGGATAACAACGATTCCTCCTGCTGCAGACCGCTGTAACGTTTTTCACTGACTGATCAACAACGCATATTTTCCGAAGCTAAAGTAGACGTGATATATCTTCAGCGTTGTTAACACGGGACGTTGTATTTCTACGTCCATGATGCGGTCACGCAGAGCTACGTTAATGCGGATTAGGCTTGGTGTAATCTAAACTGGAAAAACGATAGACGCGTCCTGAAGATTATCGATGACATTCAGTCAAAAGAAGATCTGATCAACGCTCCTCGAAGTCAATGAAACTCTTGAATCAGTTCTGTTCCTCTTCGACGTTGGTTTGATTTCCCTTCTGATTGTTGTATTGTGGAACAGTGCTTTCCTTTGAGCTCAGTTTTGGTCTCCACCAGGTCTACATTTCTGTCTTCTTATCTGCTAGTTTTTAACTGCGTCGTCAATCATTTCCCACTTCATCCACAGCGCAAATACCAGCAGCTGCTTTCGGCTTAGAGTGGATATGTATTTCAGGAGTTTAATTTGCCTGCTGAAAGATCTCAGATGTTTGTCTCCATCAGTGCCTCAGTGTGGTGGGAGTTGTTGTTTTGCAGGTGGCATTTATTTCTTTGTTCAGCAGGAGAGGGTTCGCTGCTCAGGTTAACGGCCCTCGTTTCCCTGCAGTCCTTTGTTCCAGAGCCACTCTCATGGTGGATGTAAATGCTTTGCTTTGTGCTTGAAAAGACACTTGATAACCAGTTGATAAACAATTGTTTGGTTCCTTTTTTTTTAATTAAATGTAATTATTCATTTCCAGGGAAACCACAATAGATTAAATAAAGGAGTTGAATAGCAAGCTCCCCTTTTATGTTTGATTGTAAATCGAATATTCTGGAGTTTTAACATTTTACTTCAAGCATGTGTTGATTGATACAAAACATATATTTAAAATATTGTTGCAGCTATATACATAGGACACATGTTTCTACTAGAAAACATTAGCACGCATCACATGAATCCATACCCATCCATCCATCCATCTTCTCCCGTTTATCCGTGGTCGGGTCGCGGGGGCAGCAGTTCCAGCAGAGAGCCCCAAACTTTCTTTTCCCTGGCGACATCAACCAGCTCTGACTGGGGGATCCCAAGGCGCTCCCAGGCCAGCGAAGAGATATAATCCCTCCACCTGGTCCTAGGTCTACCCCTTGGTCTCTTCCCAGCTGGACGTGCCTGGAACACCTCCCTAGGGAGGCGCCCAGGTGGCATCCTAACTAGGTGCCCGAACCACCTCAACTGGCTCCTTTCGACGCGAAGGAGGAGCGGCTTCAACTCCGAGTCCCTCCCTGATGACCGAACTTCTCACCTTATCCCTAAGGGAGACACCAGCCACCCTGCGGAGAAAACCCATCTCGGCCGCTTGTATCCGCGAGAATGAATCCATACCAGTCGATGTAAACACACTTTTTCTGCTTCATTTAATGTCTCTTTACTTCATTGTTCATGCACAGGGAACTCACCTTGCAACACAAGAACAAACGATGCATCAATATTTAAAATCGATCCAGAAGCTACACAAACAAATCCTCCCTTATCCAAATATCTGGACCAAACTCCCAGAATCCTGCAGGTCCGCTGCAACTCTCGTTGTTTTTAAACCCAGGCTGAAGCCTTTTCTTTTTGCCGCTGCTGTTAATTGAAATATTCATATTTCACACTGCACTGTTTCAATAACCATATATTTCCATATGTTGCTGTTGCCTGTCAGATGTGTAAAACAATGGCTACAAATAGAAAGATGTTTCAAACGGAAAATACAAGATGTTTCCTGAACTCGTCTCTTGCTGATTTATTTTATGATAACCGAGGCAGAGAACTACAGTGATGGTTCTTGATGTGGAAATGTCAGGGGTTATTACTTAAGGGCCCGGTTCTGAGCCACATAATGATGTTAATAACCGGGAAGCACAATGATAAATGTCTAACACAAAGTGCTGTTATGGTTTTTATACTGGAATACAAATCCACAGCTGTGTGTTCAGACTGAGGCGCTGTGTTCAGAAAGTGGACTTTAACACACAGTATGACTAAGGATATACGCGTCTTTCTTTCTGTCTCTTGCATGTTATTCCTGAACCCTCCCGTATGTTTGCGCTTTAAATTGTCTCAGAGGTTGATAGCTTACCTTTGGAGATGTAACTTAAGGGGTCAAACACAGGAAGGTGTGGTTTTCTGTGCATCCTCGTGGTTTCAAGATCAATGAGACTCAGTGAATGTCACCCAGGATGCTCTTTGGATCCATTTCGGAGACATTAAAGAGCCCCCAGGCGGCCATATTGCCCCCCGCGCTGCTTATAGATGTTTCCTCTGGATACCCCACAGGGAAATCACCCTTCAAACAGTCAGCCGCTCATCTCCTGTGGAATATACATGCATCTCAAAGTAATGAAGAGGTGCATATGCGCAGTGGCATTTCCAGCAGCAGACCTTCAGTACAAAGTGAAAGCCTCTCCCTGGTGTCGGGCCTTTTGATGGAGACGGATGGAGTCATTGTGGCTTTAATAAGATAAAAGTGGAGTGTGTTGACATTTCTGTCGTGGAGAGTTCTCAGAAGTACGTAATGAAAGGGAGACTCGGGTGATGCAGAATGCAAAACGTGTGCATTTTTATCCACCTGGTTTGAAAACTGACAAAGAAAATACAGATGTGAAGAGTAGCAGATAATAACCCTTAGCATAAGAACAACATACAGGTGTATTTTCATTTGTTTTGATGATTGGTTCTATATATCACGCTTTAACAGACAGTATGGGGACAACACATACTGTATGGACAGATGTTTCTTGCAGTAGCAGCTCCATTTGCAACATACACAAGGACAAATATTAAAGACAAGGAAACAGACGAAAGACAATATGTTTAAGACCCTTAAACATTCGATCTGGGATTTAACTTTGTATTTAATTTAGGATGGACTGGTGCACAGAAGAGTGTTTTAATCTAAATTTATTTCATCGTAGATCTCTAATTCGTTGATGGTCAGACATGTTGTTGTTGGCCACTCAATGATTTGACCTTGACTTATAGAGTTCCTCAAAGGGTTGACCTACACTCTTCAAGCGTTGTTGAATCAATTCATTGTTTTTTATTATGTAACATAATTTATTGTCATTATTTAAGGTAATTATAGTTTTTAATGCTTTTATTTTGAAAAGGTCGCTTTAGGGGGATTTGGGCAGCGGTTGATTTACCTATTTAATTAAGAGAGGGGGCAACCATCGACCCTTTTTGGTGCCCAACGAAGAAAGGAATGTTCTTACCAGGGAAAGCCACAGGGCAAGTACAGAGATATCAACTAGTGTTCTTTGTACTGTTGGAAGTTTCAAGTTGACACAAGATGCACAACATATTTTATTGCCTGGAATCCCTGCGTTAGATTCGCTTTCTGGTGCTCCATGATGACTTCTGTCTAATCAAGGGTTGTTGAGACATTTTGATCCCTTGAAATGATTTGATATTAAGTACATTTTATTCTGTGTTTCAGGTCTGGTGAAGCTCGGCATCCACTGTGTGACGTGTCAGAAAGTCGCTGTAAAGATTGTCAACAGAGAAAAGCTCAGCGAGTCCGTGCTTATGAAGGTAAGTGTGATTTGGTGTGTGTGTGTATGTGTGTGTGTGTGTGTGTTGTGTATGTGTGTGTGTGTGATGTACCTAAACCTGAGGTCTTTTATAGCTAAATTATTGGCTGCATGTATTAAATTGTTTTCTGATTTGAAAGTCACATTTAAAAAAGTGTTTTTAGCATTTTAGCAGTTCCTGTCTCCTGGTGTGGAAGTCAATGGTTTCCCGAATGTGTTTTCTGGTTGTTATCCGGAAGTAAGGTTTGTGGTTAACGCAAGTTGAAGAGATTTTTATTCTACGACATAAAATATGTCAATAAATACACCACTGGTGAATTTTAGCGGTGGTGACGTGAAGTCATGTGACCTTGCTGTAGTTCCTTTATAGCGTTACAAGAAATACGTCAGCACTGCTTCACTCTATAGACGAGTTTCAGTTTACAGTTTCCATGTGGCTGTCAGTGCTTCACCCACATGCTGCACACAGAGCAGATGTGTGTGTGTGTGTGTGTGTGCGTGTGTGTGTGTGTGTGTGTGTCCCAGGCAGGTGTGTGTGTCCTGCTCTTTGTTCTTATTACTGTCACCAGGTCTCTGCCCACCTGCACATTAACACACAGCTGGATGCAGCTTAATGAGGCCGACTGAGTCACAGTGCTGAACGCCAGCTCCCTGTGAGGCTGAACGGCACTGTGTGTGTGTGTTGTGTGTGGTGTGTGTGTGTTGGTGTGTGTGTGTGTGTGTTGTGTGTGTGTGTGTGTGTGTGTGTGTGTGTGTGTGTGTGGTGTTTGTGTGTGTGTGTGTGTGTGTGTGTGTGTGTGTGTGTGTGTGTGTGTGTGTGTGTGTGTGTGTGTGTGTTGTGTGTGTGTGTGTGTGTGTGTGTGGTGTGTGTGTGTGTGTGTGTGTGTGTGTGTGTGTGTGTGTGTGTGTGTGTGTGTGTGTGTGTGTGTGTGGCCTAGCCTTACTATACTTGTGGGGACCTAAATCTGTTTACACAGTCACGTGTGGGGACTCGCCTCCCTTATGGGGACAAATTGGAGGTCCCCATAAGGGGAGTCATTAATTTTAGGGTGAAGACTTGGTTAGGATAAGTCTCCAGGAAATGCATGTAAGTCAATGTAATGTCCCCTGAAGTGATGTATACATGGTGTGTGTGTGTGTGTGTGTGTGTGTGTGTGTGTGTGTGTGTGTGTGTGTGTGTGTGTGTGTGTGTGTGTGAGATACTTTGTATGTCCTTTGTTCAGCAGAGGTGTTTCTCCTTTTAAAAAAGTTGGCAATTGAAAGAAAAATATGTTTTCACGTCACGTTCCTCCCCGTCTGATACCCATCCTGTTGAGTTTTAATTAGTTGTGGACGTTGGGATGGAGGCAGCAGATGCCCCTGTTTGCCTCTCAGCTGAATTTTATATATTTTATATTTCCTGCTCTCTTTTGTCTCGGAGCTCGTGTTTTCCTCCGTCTGCTGACTTTATTTAGTCTGTCCTCTGTTTTGGGGGGGTTTCCCTGCAGCTTTCCTCTAATCTTCCTCGCCTCTTCGTCTTATTTTAGGAGATGCTAAAGCCCTGTTGTCATGGCAATAGGCTGCGAATGGCTTGCTCATTTTTCACACAATGAAGTGTAACCAGCATTTTAACATTCATTCATCTCCGAAAAATCATTAGGAAACCTCTGCGAATAGAGTTTACTTGCTTTTACTATTTAATGGTATGTTTTTTGAATTACTGAGAAGCAGCACAACTGAACTATAAGACACGAGGACATCTGTGCAATACATCTGAAATAACTATAAAAGCTGTATAGCATAAACATGCCACAAACATAGGGTCAACTCTACAACATATGTATTATATATTTTTAATTTAATGAAGCTGCGTAGAAGGAAAACACAATTCAAATATGATCTAAGATGGAAAGTGGTTAAAAATGAATATACAGCAAAAAACATTTCCATGATATCTGAATTTAAAGAAGCTGTATGTATTTGGTGACCCTGATTTATTCCTTCTTATTTTATCCTGAAACTTCATTTTTTCCCGTGGTCTCTTAATCTATATTCAAAGCTCTTTATATTCAGATGAAACCTAAACATGCATGATTTGTTTCAACACGATGGTCACAGTTTCTAGAAACCTCACTTCGTTTGACATATCGTGCTGCAGGTTTACTTTCTTCTGTTTTCTCCCAAACTTCGAGCAGCGGATTCTTTTGAGTTTCTTTTTTACATATGAATGAGTCCTCTGTTCACCAAACAAGACACATTTACATTTCCCTTGTTCAGTGTTACACATGGAGCCTTTTAGAGGAAACATGGGGATCATTTCCATATAAATACATGTCTTTATCCTCCAGTGATGCACTTTGTGTCTGATACTTGAAGGCTTTCACACTCGACTGCTGCGTCTAGTACCTCACTAAGTGATGTTGTTCTGTTCCTGGTGCTTTGAGATAGGCTTTGTAGAGCTAAAGGATATACTATACACATCAGAAGACATGCTTTACAAGTATTTCTGAATTTAAAAAAGGTGCAACATAGATTAAAAATGTAATTAAAATATAAAAAAATGCTTTAAAAATATATTAACAATATATCTATCTTTAAAAATAAAGCTATTTCAAAGAAGATGTGAATAAATACTTGTTCATTTTATAGAAATAGTATTTAATTGAAAAAGAAGCTGCAACCAACAATAAGCTTTAAACTATTTGTAATACATCTACATTTAAAATAGCCTATGGAAAGAAAATATACAATAACAATATTAAATTATATCTGAATTAGCAATATCATCAAACATTTTTTTAAATGCTTTAAAATAAGTCAAATATTCCTGAATATAGAAAGTTGTAAAGATAACATTTGCTTTTAAACTATATATGATATATATTTTATTATAAGATACTGTATACAACACTATCAACAAGCTGTATAGATAGAAGGAAAATACTAGTAAAATATTTAAAGTATGCACATTATAGCTCAATTAAAACACGATAAAACATGTTCATTATACAGAATCAAAAAATAAATATGAAACCAATTGTAAAAAATGACATCATGATTATAATACTTGAAAACAGAGAAGCCCTTTAACAAATGTACCATCAGATATTTTGAAATGTTCTATATATATGTACAGTATATCTGAATGTGAAACAGACCTGTGCGTCTGGAAGGGCCATTATCTACTCTCACATGTGTTAACATCCTTAACCTATATCTGCCTTTGTCATGTGCATATTTCCCGAACATATGCAGTGTGTGTGTGTGTGTGTGTGTGTGTGTGTGTGTGTGTGTGTGTGTGTGTGTGTGTGTGTGTGTGTGTGTGTGTGTGTGTGTGTGTGGTGTGTGTGTGTGTGTGTGTGTGTGTGTGTGTGTGTGTGTGTGTGTGTGTGTGTGTGTGTGTGTGTGTGTTGTGTGTGTGTGTGTGTGTGTGTGTGTGTGTGTGTCCTGTTGAGATGAGCAGTCTGACATTTGCAGCACTTCTTCAGAGATCACACCGTCACCCCGCCTGCTCCCACATGTCAGAGCTGGCATTTACAGCACGGAGGCTCATTAGAGGAAGCACGGGGGGGTTAGCCGCTAATGCTAGGGTTAGCGGCTAGCGTTAGCTTCTAACGGCTAACAGATAGAGCTGCAGCTCATTCAAATATGATTGTGGAAAGTAACTAAGTACATTTACTCAAGTACTGTACTTATTTACACATGTTAGATACCTGGTATATTTATTCTTTTTGCCCCACTGTATATATATATATTAGGGCTGTCAGTCGATTAAAATAGTTAATCGCGATTAATCGCAAATTAATCGCACATTTTTTATCTGTTCTAAATGTACCTTAGAGGAATATTTTTCAAGTTTTTAATACTCTTATCAACATATGAGTGGACAAATATGCTTTATGCTCATGTTTATTATCATTTGAACAATGACAAATATTCTCATGAATATTAAACACAACAATCTGGAACCTCTCTCATACAATAATACAATACAAATGGTGTGTGTGTGTGTGTGTGTGTGTGTGTGTGTGTGTGTGTGTGTGTGTGTGGTGTGTGTGTGTGTGTGTGTGTGTGTGTGTGTGTGTGGTGTGTGTGTGTGTGTGTGTGGTGTGTGTGTGTGTGTGTGTGTGTGTGTGTGTGTGTGTGTGTGTGTGTGTGTGTGTGTGATCGTTGGAGCTATGTGCAACTCAAGGCATATGCTCGAACGGGAGCTGCCTGGACGCTGCAATCATGTTGCGCACTATCCGTGCTGAGTGTGCTGACTTTTCGTACAATGTCCCACTGTCTGGCTTCCTGCATAAAGTCAAGTGCTCGGCGCAGTTGTGGCGAAATGTCGCTCCTCTGTTTTCATTTAAACAGCTCCTTATATCCGTTAGCGCAGCTAGCTAGCACCAGATGCTAACAACAACAATGCACGTAAGGTCTCTCTCTCGCTCGCTCGGGCCACACATACACACACCCTCCCGGTCCTCCCAACAGCCAGTCGGTGCCTGCCGGTGAGCGTGGAAGTGTGGTCTGCCACAAGCGGGCGGCAGGAGCGGGGCTGTCAGCATCAGCTTGTAGATGGTATTTTAAACTCGATGCGCTCTGAAACTACGGGGCGGCCGAGGAAAAAAAATACACATGCGTTAATCGCATTAAAATAATTAGTGGCGTTATTTTTTTTTTGCGTTAACTTGACAGCCCTAATATATATATATATATATATATACAGGGTTGGGTTGTAACGGAATACATGTAACGGCGTTACGTAATCAGAATACAAAAATCAAGTAACTGTATTCAGCTCACGTTACATTTGAAAAACGAGTAATCTGATTACAGTTACTTTCGTAAACCTGAAGTGAATACATTTTGGATTACTTATTGGAATTATTGGTGGAAAGATTTCCTCACAACATGTAATATTCATTACTAAAGGTATACAGCCGAATCATCACAGCCCACAAAACCTATTACCGCCGCAGATGGAACAAAAAAGCGTTTGAAAAAAAATTGCGGGTCCGCTCAGTGAAACAATAA